AGTTCATTTTCCGGCGACTTTGACCGGCGGGCGGCGGCGGCGGGGCGTGGAAGAGAAGAAAAGAAGAAATGGGGTCAAATTGAAAATTTTAAAATATATAAAATTCGAATTTGGCCCTAATGACCGGAAGTTAACCTAGAAACGGGCTAATGGCTCATTAGTGAAAGGATTGTGTAAGTTCAGGGATTTTTGTGAAAGGATTTGAAGTTCAGGTACCACTTCAAAATTCCAGCTAAAGTTCAGGTACCATTTGTGAAATTTACCCATGTTAAACTTAAGACTGATCACTCTTGTCTTGTTTGTTTAATTGTCCCGTGATTATGTACACCATTCTCTATTTTCCATTTCTAGATACTATTATTTGGTGAAATATAGACCACCATATTGGAAATATCAATGTTAAACTACTCTGTTTCAAGTCTTTAGAAACTATGAAGTGAAAAGTGTAGAATTTTATATCAATGGTAACATTAGTATTTAGCATCAAATCATGATAGCAAGGCTGCATATCCTGTACTCCCTCCGTCCCAAAATAAAAGAAGTTTTAGATAAATGCACAAGTATTCACAATGCTAACAAAGAAACACTTCTAATCCATATTTAAGTTTTATATTGAATGCATTCTTTTGTTTTCAAGTACAAAAGCATTTAATGTAGAAGATTGGTATCAAATATGCATTGAATTTCTCAAAAAAGAAAAAAATATTTTCAGGCAAAAATATTTGACTATAATGTCTAAACAGAATGTCGGGCCGAGGGAATATTGTTTTCAAGGGTTTTGGCAATGAACAGATGAAGACCGTGCCTCACTCATGTTTTCAAACTAGACGTGGAAAAGTTTGACTCAGCTTGGCAAAATTTGACCTGAATTTACCTAGACTGGAAGATACCGAACTTGAACCCTCATGACTGGCCTGTTTGATAGCTCTAGTTCAAATTCTCGAGACAGGCTCTTAGCGAAAGATATTTTTAACTTGTTTGTCTTGTAGGTTATGAGGAAATTTGTCATGTTGACAATGCCACAGGAATGGGGAACTTGTAACAGATGAAGAAGTAATAGCTGAGGTTAGATATTGCTGGTAAGGCTGTTCAAGTTGTCATGGAAAGGAAAAAAAAGGGCCGATCCAACTGTTTGGTCCATACTCCTAAATGGGTCCAAATAGGTTTGAGGTTGGCCCTCGGTCATGAACTTTTCTACATTTGGATTTTGGTCCATTTTGTCTGGACTGAAATAACATATGTTTTTAATTTTATGGCAGTTCCACACTCGCACAGCCACACTTATCAGGGGTTCAATATTTTCTGCTCAGTGTTGCTCCTCAAGGTTTTATTCACTCCCAGATCCTCCACCTGACTTCTCTGATTCTGGTGAACAATTTCACTCTCTTGAGTTCTTGTTAATTATTTTTTTCTATCACACGACTTCTCTTGCGCGCGTGCGTGTTATGCTCATCTTTACCATGTTTTTGAGTTGGTGATATGGGGCTGTTAAATACTTTCCACTGTTCCCAGTGGACTTGCTTGATTTGGTGTGCATAATTATGATTAATTTTGATGAGTGATACTCCCTATGTCTAGTATGAAAGTTCCCGCTTTGACTTTTACGGTGTTTAAGGAAATGTGAAACTATTTGTTTGAAATTTATGCAAAAAAAAGAGAAATTATATGAACCACACAATTCGATCCTTAAAAGGAATGTGAATATTTTTGTGGGACATTCGGAAAATGAGAATGTAGATATGGGCTTTTATACCTCTTCCACATCATCAATCAGCAGGCGAATTCCTCTGTTCCTTCATAAAATTTTGGTGATGGTTCAATTTTAATTTTACTGTGAGTAAAGATTTTATTGACCTCGTGCAGAGGTTGATGGAAGAGGATAGGCTAAGAAGAAAGATCTTCATATTGACCTCAAGGTTTACGATAGGGTGACAAGCAAGGTTTTGTGGAGGTGTCTTGCTTGTAGAGGAGTTCCGATTGAGATACGTATGGTGGGGCAAAGACTAGGGTAATGACCATTAGGGGCGACTCTAAGCCTTTTTTGTAGGGGTTGGGCTGCACCAGGGGTCTACCCTTAACCCATTCTTGTTTGCCTTAGTGATGGACGTCCTAATGCAGGGAGTTCAAGAGGAAGTCTTGTGGTGCATGCTTTTTGCGGATGATATTGTGCTTATCAACGACACGCACAAAGGACTAAACGACAAGTTAGAACTTTGGCGCCTTTCCCTAGAGATCAAAGAACCCATACTTAGTAGGACCAAGGCTTAATACACGAAATGTCATTTCAGCGGTTGGGAGATTGAATCGAAGGTGGAAGTTAGGATTGACTCTCACCTAGTGCCCAAGGTAGACAAGTTTTGGTATCTTGTCTCGGGCTCGGTCAAGAGTTGGGAGGGGATGTTGTGCATCGTGTTGGAGCAACTTAAACGAAATGGAGGTGGGCTTCAGAGGTGTTGTGCAATAAGAAGATTTCGTCAAAGATGAAAGGTAAGTTCTACAGGTTCGTAGTCAGACCAGCTATGCTGTATATGGCGGAGTGCTTGGCGGTTAAGAAGACTCACGTGCATCGTCTACATGCAGTGGAGATGCGGATGTTGAGGTGGATGTGTGGATAGAGAAGGCTGGATAGGATTCTAAACGAGGTGATCCGTGGTTGGTTAGGCATGACGCCACTAGAAGATAAGCTGCGAAAAGCTAGGCCGAGGTGGTTTGGTCATGTGAGACGGTGGAATGTTGTCGCCCCAGTGCGGAGATGCGAGAGACTTATGTTGGTGGGGAGTAGGGAAAGGCGTAGACCTAAGAAGATTTGGAAGAAGGTGATTGGGCAGGACTTAGGACTTCTTGCCCTTAGTGAGGATATGACCTTAGATAAAGCATTTTGAGAATATGATTAGAGTAGCGGGATAGGTGCCTTGTGCTAGAGGGTGTTGTTCTTGTTGTATGCTCAATATGCCTTATTTGCTTGGTGCTGTTTGCTATTGGCTTGCAGCACTTCTCCTTCGTTAACTTTAATGTGTTTTTTTGGCTTTGGTGTTTTATCTGTGTTGTAGTTGTGTTTTCTATGCTTTATGTATCTACTGTGATCCTTTCATATGTGCCGCTTGAGTCGGGGGTCTAATGATGTGGTATTGTTGCCTATGGTTGTTTCAGGTTCGGACCACTAAAAGATGATACAGTACATAAACACTTTCCGTCCCTAATCAAATCCTAATTAGCTTGATTTGTTCATCAATAAAAAGGTTTGCTTTGATGTGAAACTTGTAAAGACTTTTCTACATAGAATCTTCATTCAATGAGCTAGCTGGTTTATAAATGTTATTATAAGTGATTATTATCTATTCCCTCCAACCCAATTTAATATTGTTCGTGACGGTTTACGATATTTTATTTTAATTTAATTTAGTCAAACATTGGTGTGAAATTTAAAAATAAAATTTATATACGGAGTATTTATTATTTTGTTTGAGCTTGAGGTTTCTTGGAAGGCACAATCTTTCGTAAACCTAAGGTAGTCCATGGTTATTATACAGACTTTAGTACATTTGTAGTATAAAAGAATTGGACATTTCAAAAAAGAAAATATCCACATTAAAGTCCATAAAAAATATGAGATCCACATTTTTAAATGTAGAATTTGGGACCATGTAAGCATCACTCTTCTTGGAAAAAGTCTCTCTACTCTTGAATAGGGGCAAGGTTTGCGTGCACACATCCTCTCAGACCCTACTTTCGTGAGATCTAACTGGGTTGTTGTTCTTCTTGTATATATGGAGTATTTAATATTTCCTCCATAGGTTAAATTGTATTCGCATTCTTTAATTGTTTAATTACTTTTTGATAAACTAATATAGGTCATGTTTTTGTATCAGCGTGAGAGATTAGCGTTGCTGTTTTGAAAAAGCTATCTAACAGTAGCCTTTAGCATTAGCATCTTCTCAAACAAGGCCATAGTCATGTTCTATCTTGTTTCAAAGAGCTTTATATGTAGTTTTTAAATATAAAAGAAACAAGGTCATAGTCATGTTTCATCTTGTTTCAAAGACTTTTAGATGTAGTTTTTAAATATAAAATTATATATTTAAATTCCACCTCAATTGTTAAATAAATTAAATTAAAAATAATTTCAGTTAAATATCGTAAAGTGAAACAGACACTACAAAATGAGACGGAGAGAATAGAAAATGAAGTTTATATATTTAAAAAATAAATTTACACTTCAAATCTATTTTGTCGTTAAATGATCGGATGGTAATGGCATGGCATGGCATGCATGCAGCAGGGAACGTAGCGAAGAAACTAAGGCTGCAAATATATGGTATGTTGCTAAAGTAACTCATCTGTTTGTCATTTTAAGTGTTTTGTTCATCAAAACGTCACAAATGATACCACAATAATTATTACTCCATTGTCCATTTATGTATCACTTTCGATTCATCGAACGATGTTCGTCTTCGAAGAAGATATTTCCATTCCCACAATATAATTCAAATTTTGTATATTTGAAAATTACTTGTTTCAAAATAAATTTTATACTCTTATTTATTCCCACACTATAATTCAAATTTTGCACTCCTTCTGTTCCACAAAACTCTTTCGGTTTTGACTTTAGGGAAAAATAAGGAAAGTGTATTTTTGGTTGACTTTCCAATTTTGTCCCTGATGTGATGGGAAAAAGTAAAATGTGATAGTTTGGTTATTAGTGAAAAAGTATGATATATGAAAAAGTAGGGGTAAAAGTGCTTTTTAATAAAAAATGGAAGTGTTTTGTAGAAAGCAAAAAAACGAAAGAGGAAGAGTTTTGTGGAACGGAGAGAGTATATTTGAAAATTACTTGTTTCAAAACACATTTTAATGTTTCATCGTCTCTTACTCAGTTATTCTAAATCAACAGTTAGGGGGGACTTACGGCGAGGTTGGGGCGTTTAGGGGTAGAAACCGTTAATTTTACGAACAGAGCACCGGAGGTGCCCCAAAAACCCAGTGACACCAGAGTGGCACCGTTCTCCAGTATCAATAGAACCGGACCGAGTGGTCAAAGTTTTAAAATTTTGGCTAAAAAAATAGAGTGAAATTACACTACTGCAAAAAATGGGCTTTAGGATCGGCTTTTAGACCTTTTGCATCACTTGTTTACCGATGCAAATGCAAGCGATGCAATTGCTTTAGGACAATTGCATCGGTTGGAAAAAAAATCAATGCTAAAGTTCTTTTTACTAAAAAAAAGCTTTTGCATCGCTAATTTAGAAATGACCGATGCAAAAACTCTTTTTTATCGATTATTTAGATCTTTTGCATCAATTGTTTCAATAACAACTGATGCAGTTGAGGAAGTTTATTTACTTATTTTTGAAATAGTGTTATATTTTTATAATTTATTAGGGAGTATTTAATTTCGTACAAAAGTAACTAAAAATCAATTGAATGCAAAATAATTTGATGCAAGCATCTAATCCAACTATTCCAAAGTTTTTTGAGAAAGCCAAATCAAGCATCAAGCATGTAGTAGACGACGGAGCTAATTGATACATTAATTACATGCATGCATGCATGCATGCATACAAACTACGTACGTACGTACGTACACATTATTAATTCGCCTCCTCTATATAGCTACTAGCAGCTAGCTAGAGGTGAAGAGATGTATCCACATCACAGTAATCACTATCACCATGATGCTCATGTTTGATGACCCAATTATTACCATGAACACTAGTATGCGTTGGCCCTACCGGAGAGTCGGCCCCCGGCCAAAGGGAGAGAGAGATTTTTTTAGACGACGATGGCTTGGCAACCGCCGCCCCCGGAAACAGTGACAATTCGGCGTTGACAGTACGCTTGTTTGCCGGAGGCGGCGTGGGCCCATAGTGATCTTGATAATAAGACGAAGGCGATGAAGATGACGACGAGAACGATGATGATGATGAGAGTGTTTTCATCATCAAGAGCTCTCTCTCCTCCCTAATCTCCTTTGCCCTCTCCAGCTGTCTGAATCTTTCTTGAAGCATGGCTATGGAGGAATAATGACTATCAAGTGCTATTTGATTATCACCTCCTCTTCTTCCCATTTGTGTCATGCCAGGCAATAATTATAATTATAATTATAACAACTATTGGTATGATATTATTTGAAATATATCTTCTCTTTTTGTTGGTGTTTTTTTAAAAAATATATAGAGTGGGCTTTTATAAAAAAAATTTTGAAAACAGTGGGCTTTTATAGTTAGTTCTTTTTCTTTTGGATGAGAGTTGTTGTAATAATATATAATTAAGGAAATGCAGAAATGGGTGGCTATATTTATATGGAATGTGTGTGGGGGTATCCTGGTAATTTCACATTCCGGACATGCTTGATATTTAATTACCTGGTCTATGCAAAAGAAATTAAATGATAGGGTATATGGTACGCGCCAAGAAAAAAAGTCCAAGAAGAAAAGAGTTGGGAAGGCAATCTAGGAATTGATTGAAGTACTTTGTTTGAATGGGTTGAGATTCTACTCTTAGGTGGCCACCCACCCTAGCTACTAGCTACTATATTGCTTCTAAAACATTCTCCTTATTTATGAGGTTTGATCGATTATAGATTAATTTATTTGATTATAGATGTAAAATTAAAAATATATATATATTTAAAAACTACATCAAAAGTTCTACGGAGTACAAAACAAGAGGTGACAAGATTATATTATTTTATCAAATAACAAAAAAAGAAAATAAGTAAAGAAAATGATTAAAGTTTGACCGTGTAGATACTAACTGAGAAGAACGTTTTAGGACATAGATTACTCCCTCTGTGTGAAAATGTTCTTCCCCTACAATATTTAACAATCAAATTTCATTCACTTTATTTTAATTTGTAATACTCATTTCATAATATAAGATATCAATATCACTTCTTGTTTTGTAGAAATTATAATATATTTTTTAAATATATATATATATTTTCTAAATTTTACATTCATGCATGATCAAATAAATTAAATCGAAAATACAGTCGGTCAAGTCTCGTAATGCGTAATGGAAAGAATATTTCGGGATGGAGGGAGTAGTGTAATAGTTCTAAGTTCCACATGTGAGATGTAGTCATTTTCATAAAATAGGGTATGGGCTTACAAATAAATTTTTCTTTTTTACAAAAAATCATTTTTTTAATGTTTAAGTACTAATTTGAGGTTCATAAAATAGTGTTTTGAATTAAGGACCACATAATATTTTGCTATTAGTGTATTACTTAATATGTCCCAAATTAAATTTCCATTTTGACTTTCAACCAGATTAAGAAAAAGCAACATTCTTTAGTTGTGGTTGTTGCAAATTAGAAAATATGTAAGAAAAGAAGGTATATATGTTTAACCATGTAAATAATAATTTTGAAATTAATGTTATCCATACTTTTGTTACCACATACACTTTAGACTTGACATTCCACGTTTTAGATTACGAAGTTTCAAGTGAAATTTGCACTGAATAAGACTAAAACATAAGTCATTTTTAATGTAGGACTTAAACTTTTTTATTTCCTAAATAGGACTTAATAATAATGACTAGTGAAAAGAATAGTGTCCAAATGATGTTGGACATTTAGTTGAATAATGACTAATAGATAATGATCAATAGTCCTACATTGGGAAATAAAAATATATGGTCCTACATTGAGAAAATCATTATGTTTTAGTCCTATTTAGGTAAATTACCCAAGTTTCAAATCTAGAATATGTAAAAAAATTCTTGAATATAATATACTATACGCCGAAAGTTTTGAAATTATAATTTCTATAATTGTCTTAGTATTTTTTGTTTAAGTCATTCTTACAAAAAAATTATTTTTAAAGTGGTGAATAAAATATAATTTACATTTCTAGTTCGTTGAGATAGTATTTCTTTCGATCAAACTCAACATCGCAGACTTACATTTTTAATAACCTTCAACAAAATTTTCATAAAATAAATTATGTTTTTTTATTCAGATTACATCTCTAATTTCCAAACTTTTTGAAAATATAATATAATAAATTAAAATTTGAGAATTGAGAATGTAATTCAATGAATTGAAGAACACAATTTAAGAAATGTGAATTGTGTATGAGATAATAAGAAATGCTAGACTATGATGTTGAGTCGACAAATAATGTGTTATCTCAACAAATTAGAAGTCTTAATTACTTTTAGTCACCATTCTCAAAAGAATATTTTTTGCAAAGGCAACTTAAACAAATTTAAAAGAATATTGTTGAGACCAAAAACAAAAGTGGCATATTTTACAATAACTAAAAACACATTTATCGCTTATAGTTTTTAAATGATGAATGATTTTTGTCCATATAAAAAATATATTAAAATTTCAATTATAATTTTTATAGAACTTAAAAAGTAAATAAAATCTTGTGTTAAGACAACATAATATCTATTTTGAAATATTTTATATAAATATTAAAAAACTTATTTTTATATAATGATTGTTTTCATAAATATATTAAGATGACTATGAAATATCCAAAAAAATTGAAAGAATCAATTTTTTAAGGACAAAATTTTTTAGTATACTTTTGGTATATTTAAAAGAAATATTAACACTAAATAGCAGTAAAACTTAAATCATTTCTCTAAATAGTATTTAAAGTGTTTTATCTCATTAAAATGACTATAATGTTGTTATTTTCCTTCAAAAAAAATTGACTATGAAAGAGGTGCATGTTTGAAACCAACATTGGGAGTAATAAATTGGAGCGTCTGAGTTTTTAGTCTACTCGTGCCACGGCAAATGAAAGACGACAGAGTTAATTTGAGTGCTTATAAAACTTTTTTTTCCCTTTTTCATCATCTATTATATAGCTAGCTAAGGAGCCTAGTACATACTAGCTATTTCAATACTTTTAAATATCTTTTATCAAGTTTTTTAACGTTTAGAAGTTGGGCATATTGTAAACCCCAACAGATAGAATCAAAATCTAAATTATTTCAAACAGAATTCGTAATGTTTGCTGCCTACATGTGTCCAACAAAAATTATTGCACTCCATTTCCATCCATTTTAAATATGATCTATATACTCTCTTGATTATAGAGTTTGATAATACGGTTATGCTACACTTACACCACAAATTGTACCCCATTGTACACCACAGTTATAAACAAATATTTTGATGGTTTACACTGACACAAGTGTTAGTGCGTTAACGAAAATTTACACGGACACAAAGTGTTGGTGCATTAACAAAAAATAGTTTTACACTAACACAAAGTATTGGTGCAAAGCTACGTGGTACAAAAGATGTGGTACAAATAGCTTTATCCTCATTGATAATGGAGGATTACACCATATATGTAGAGATCACTACGCACAAGAAAAACTCTAAATATAAAAGAATAATAATTATAGAAATAATAAAAATAAGAAAATCAATAATAATAACAATAATATAATAATAATATTGTTTTCTATTATCTCTACAATTTAATCGACGGTAACGATGAATAGCTTGATGCACAAATATTGGAATGGAGCTGGCGAGAGTGGTTTTTTGAGGATGTCGGTGAGCTCTTCAGATGACGACCGATCGAGTGTCATGAGTAGTCATGGTACCGGCTGTCATGACCTCGTCGGACATAAAATGGCAATCAAAGACAACATGCTTCATCTGATTGTGTAGAAATTGATTTTTTAACATGTACAAATAGTGGATTCATTGTCCGAGTAGGTTCGAGCATCAGTAATGTACGGTAGCCAAATAGCTTCTGCCATATATGTAGCCACGACACGATATTTGACCTCAGTAAAAGAACAAGAGAGAAGAGACATGAGTCTGTTTTTTCGTACATACATGCAAGAGATGAGATAAGAGCCAAACATGAAAATGTAGCCAATATGTGTAATGAATAAAGATTGATTGTACCCTCAGTAATTGAGTCAATGCAGTGTATAGATGATGACCTTATAGTTGAGAATAATTATGTGTGACATTGGCGAAATTATCTTGTTTGTCACAGATTTGACAGATTTGATGGGTGTATTCTACCAGATCATGACCCGGTTCTTGTCCAGGCGGGGGAAACTGGGCAAAACCGAAACGGTACATGACGGGATGATTCTTGTGTGTCTGTACACCAACCGGGTCTGGCCCAACCAAACCACTCGGTTAGATACCATTTTTCGAAAAACAACCCGGGTGACTTCTGAGTAACCGGTCATGTATCTCATCATCAAAGAGGATCTCCAAGTGAGCCAAACATCCCGCCAAGAAACTGACTAGGTGCACTTTTGGGACTTGTACTGACGTACATGATGACAGCTCATCGTGTTTGGACTGTAGCGGCGTTCAAGCATCTTGGTCAGGATAGATTCCTATGCATCATCTGACATATCCAGGTATTCACATCCAAACACTACGGGCCAAAGAGGGTAGACAAAGGACAACATCTAGAGAAAGGAGACAAGGGCTACAAGACAAAGGGGTGTCAAGTCATAATGGACCCGGCATGAGCATCTGCCACCCTGTCTCGTACTTTTATTATAAATAGTCCTTGTAACCCTGAGACAGGGGGTCCAAATTTCCTCTCTTTACAAACATATTGTGCAAGCCCTCCATACTCTTCTCACACTTAATAACAATCGGACTACAAATGTTCCTATTTTCAGTCCACCCAGTCAATCTCCAGTTTTTGTGTGCCTTAAATATCTCAACTTAGCAAACCATCTTAAACTAGTTCTAAAGTAGTTTTCCTAGGTGATTAATTTAGACCAATAAGAGGTGTTAAATTGGTGATCAGGCGACGGTAAACCACAACTAGATGCTTGATCGCCTATAGAGACCAAGGCAATACGTGTGCGTCCCCCCGAAAGAAGAATCAACCAAGCTCATTTTTTGTTACATCTCAAGATTGATTTCTTTTGAAGTGAGCCATTCGAAAAGCTGATTGAGAGCAACGTCTCTGTCTCGTAGAAGAATGTTTTGTTTAAAAGATGAGTACCGCGCACGGATAATGTTATTCAAAACATTACGTTCATGGATGTTTTCACACATGCAAGGCATCTAGATCTGCGAGGATCGTGACAACTTCATCCATGATAGTTTTTTGTGTCAAGCTATGGACGAAGATTTTACACCTTTGAATGAACAACGGACTTGAGATTTGGTACAACTAGCCTCCAAAACATCACGCTCACATACTGTGATACGATTTGATAATAATTGATCTTATTGATTATGAAGGATTACACAAGTATGTATAGAGAACACAAGAAGAATCATAATCATAGTAAAATAACAATTATAAATATAATAAAATATATGAGAAAAACAATTAATAACAATATTTGTTGAAGGGCATTTTTGGTCATTTCGACTGGAAAAGAGTGTCTTATCTAAAACCATGGTTGACAATAATATTTTAAAAAATGGTAAAAAGGAAAATGGGGAAAGCCGTGAAACTAAACAACTAATGATATTTTTCAAATATAAAAAACTTATGATTTTTATTGTGAATGACAACAATATTAACTTTGACCGGATGGTTTGTTCAGCTTGGAAACTCTCTTGTCTCTTGGAAAGCATTCTAGCAAACAACGATTGCCCGTTCATCCGGTGGGGCCAAATATATGGCCCTTAGCTTGCTGTAGTGAGTTGTGAGTTGAAATGGTAAAAAGGTCTCTTGCGCTCCTTAGGCATCTTGCATGCCGATCCAATGAAAATATATAGTAACAGGACGGCACTTCACATTGTTGCCAATCTAGTTTTTCACAAGCACACAAAGCCCATCGAAATTGACTCTCACTTTAATTTGTTCATGACGAGCTTCTTCGCATTGTGATTCACACATAACATTCTCACTTTGCTTCCGCTAACATATATTCATAGTTCATACAAAGACACTGAGAAAGACACACATGGTGTTCCTTATCTCAAGTTAGACATTTCATTTTTACACGCTCCACAACTTGAGGGGTACTAAAAGAAAGAATATATTTTTGTAGGTATTATTATTTGATTTAGTTGTACATAGTAGTATCTATATATTATCATGTTCCCTTTATTGTTTCTTTAATTTCCATATATATAGTTTGTTTTCATATGAAGTTTTTAGCCTCTGAGATCTTATATAAGAACTTGTTTTGTTCATATTTCGGAAAATACAAAAAGACATCGTTATCTTAAATAATAATTTGTAATAAATTACATTAAATAGGAGTAAAACTTAGAGAAATTACAAAAATATGAGTTTTATATTTTTATCCCCAAAATAGAAGTTTGTATTGTAGTAATGTGGCACTGTATATGAATATTTCACAATACTTTTTGGTAATGTATATGGTCATGATTGACATTGTAAATACATTTTTACTCTATTTTAGAAAATAAAACATGAAAATCATATTTTGCTATATTTTTAATGTTTTACTCTTACATTAGTCTTTTTCCTATATTCTTTCAATGGCTAACATTTTTTTATAAGAGAATTGGCCGTGTATTGCATGAGTGCTACACTAATGCACTATTTTTGAAAATAATAATATCTTTCACGAAAATTCTTCTGTGGACCTAAGATCTATACCCATTTTATGGATCTTGATGTATTTGTAGCATAAAAGAGATAAACCTTTTACAAAAAAATATACACATACAAGCTCATGAAAAATGTGAAAAATATGGATTTTGGGACCATGTAAGCATCATGCTATATTTCATATCTATCAAATTGAATCGTTCATCTATTTTTTATGGAATTAAAAAAAGTAAAATTAGATGATTGAGATGAATCTAAAATGAGAAAAATTAAGAGAAATAATTAAAAATAAAAATAAAATATAAAGAAAGTATCAAAACAAAAACACTATATTTTTTTTACTCAAAATAAGAGTTTGAAATAACTTTTATTTTAAGAATAAAAAACAAAGAACTCTTATTTTATCATTTTCTTACTATTTTGTGGATGTGTTTTACTCTTTTGTGAAATCTTTTGTTTTAAAAGAGGTTTTTTCTGGGAGAAAGGGTATTAAAGAAAAGCCCAAATTTTCTGCCAAGGTATTTCGCGGTGTTGAAGTAAAAAATCAGGGGGATGTTGTCTGAATTCTGAATTGCACTCCGTATTTAATCAATTATTACTCCGCTCCGTATTATACATTCATCGTTAAGCTGAAGTGGGGTTTCAGAAGTGAATGGGTAGGTCTCGCGCAAATTTTCACGCTGAAGAAGATCCTACTCAGAGGTTATACTCCAATCCTGTTTCCCAATTGTCAATTTTTGTTGTTATTTATTTTATGTATTTATTCTTGAAAAAAATACGATTTTGATGCAATTCAAATAGGATTCTGTCATTCTGTATCAACAAGATTTGCTTTTGGCTTGGTAAGAATTAGCATATTAACCCACAAATTTGAGTATTGAACTTTTCTTAGCTGCTGTAGGAAGCCAGTAGTCAGTAGCACTTCCTCTATGATTGATATTTGCATGTTTAAGATTTGAATTGGTCTTATTGGGTTGATGTTGCATTGCCATTTGTGTTCCTAGCATGAAATCTATTTGTTTTCTTGGTAATTTAAAAATGTAACTCATTTCTTTCCAGGGAATGATACGTCAAAATAGTGTACTTTCATGATTTTTTTTTGAAAAAATGCGACGGAATTGTTTGCATCGAATTTTGCCCCAAAGACACGAGCTTGCGAATACACTGATATGTGTGCTTGTGTGTGAAGAAACAAATGAGATGGGGCAAGGGCGGAGTAACGTAGCACAACTTTCTTTCTTTTTCTGTGGTGCAGATCAAGGAGGAAAAAGAATGCCTCGAGTGGAGAAAATTTTGACTACATTGCAGCCGGTGAGCTCTGTTCAGTGCTGAGAATTGATTATAGAGTTTCCAGATTGTGCCGTAATTCGTATTTGATTGGCTCTATGTTTTTCAGGCCAAGGAGCGGTTGATGGTAAACCGGCCTCATATCACTGCAACTATTGCAATAAAGACATTACCGGGAGAGTTCGTATCAAATGTGCTATGTGTTCTGATTTCGACCTATGCATAGAGTGCTTCTCAGTTGGCGTTGAAGTGCATCCTCACAAAAGTAATCACCCTTACAGGGTTATGGTTAGTTCTGCATTACTGTTTACACCGCCACTCGTGTTGGCCCAATACTTATGGAGTTCAATCTAAAGCGAAGTCCAAGTTTTAAAGAATGATTATGATGAATAATGATGAAATCTGAACACAAGTTGGAAATAAAGACTATAAGGGACTAAGAGTCACAATGGGAGACTTTTATTTAGAAATTACATAAAAGGCGAGATAAGTAATAAAGGCAACGACCTAGCAGGTAAGATTGAGGACCATTTCCTCACATGAGCGGTGTTGGCGTATTCTTTGTTCATGGTCCACCCATGGTTCCATGTCTGTCGTATTATACATACTTTGTGCACAATAGTGTCCTAATAACCTTTCAAGCTGTATTTGTGATTTGGTCAGGTTTGAGTCAAACGTTGTTGTGCTTTAAACCTTCATTGTTTGTTTTAAACAGGACATATTATCATTTCCCCTTCTATGTCCAGACTGGAATGCTGATGAAGAAATGCTACTTTTAGAGGTATTTCTTAAATTGTGGATTCTTGATTATGTACTCTATGCGGTCATGCCATCAGTTATTCTTCTCTTAGCTTTTTTTGTGTGTGTTTTGTATTGGTTTTAAGTTGTGTTTTCCTCCTTTCTCTTTTCTAATTCCCTTTTCTGGCATTATGCTTGAATTTGTTTTCTAGGGCATTGAAATGTATGGTATTGGTAAGTGGGCAGAAGTTTGCGAGCATGTCGGGACAAAGACTAAAGATGCATGCATTGAACACTACACGAATACCTACTTAAATTCCCCCTACTTTCCTCTACCGGTATGACAATTGAGATATGTTCAATATTTTGACTTCATTTATTTTTTTATTTGTTTCGCTCAATGTTTTCCTCCAAAAAATTGGGATTCAGGATATGACGCATGTTGTTGGGAGAAACATAAAGGAACTCCTTGACATGACTAAAGAGAATGTAGAAGATATGAAAGGTTAGTATTCTAGTTGGCGTCCTCTCGTTGCTTGACTTCTAGTTTTGTGCAGTGTATGTCATTACTTCAAGAATCATTTTTTCAAGGATCGACATCATTTTGTTTACCAAAATGACAATGGAATATAATGATGTTAGGTCCAATTTTATGCTTCCTGATATAGTAGTGCAGAATACTACCTCCGTCCCAATGTATTTGTCCAGTTTGACTTTTTTGAATCAAACTGGACAAACTTTGTATCTCAAAAAATTGTAATTTATATTGGTATAAAAATGACATCATTAGATTTATCTTGTTCAAAAACTTTAAAATTTTATTTTATTATTTTAATACGTACCCGGAGTAATACAAACAGAGAGTAATTGATGATCAAAGTTCGTCCAGTTTGACTCGAAAAAGTCAAACTGGATGAATGCACTAGGACAGAGGAAGTATTCATTGATTGTGCTGAACTGATAATTACAGGTTTTGCTTCACTAGGGGAAATAGCACAGAAGGATGGATTTGTACTGAGAGTAAAGTATGATTGTTTTTCGTGTGTGTGTGTGTGAGTGTGTGCACTATTTTGACACCGACATACCGTGCTACAGAACTGTTTATATATGCGCTTTAATATTGATTCTCTTTCGCATATTGATTGACTAGAGTTGAAGATGCAAATAGAAGTGGATCCGCGGGACATTTCATTTCTGCTTCTAATGCTGGTAAGGAAGGGCACTGAACCCGGTAAATGTTTTGCAGTCACGTAGTAGTTCCTAAAGCCATAGGCTTAACCAGACATACTTGCAAACATGCATGATTAACAGGCATTAAAAAGCCATCAAATGTCTTGGCCAAGGATCAAACCGACTCCGTAAAGTTGGAAGGTGGTACACTATTTAAACTTGTCTCTTGGTTTGGCCAGTGCATGAAAAGATCTGTAAATACCGAAGATAACAAGTAATTTCATGTATTCACTGGCAGATATTGTATCAGTTGTGAATTTGGGAAGCAAAAAACCTAAACCGTTAAAGGATGAGGGCACATGGCTGATGAATATAAGTGGGTATAATCCAAAAAGGCATGAGTTTGACCCGGAGTATGACAATGAGGCAGAGCAACTATTGGCTGACATGGAATTTAAGGAAAATGACACAGAAGAGGAGCGTGAGCTGAAGTTGCGAGTTCTGCGTATCTATTCAAAGAGGTATTACCTCTGCAATTCGTTTTTTTCTTAAGCATGATAGTCGTTATAATAGTAATAGTCCACTAGACTAGACTGCAACAACAATAACTATCATTTCATGTCTTCTACATCTAGACTGGACTGACCTTGCAGAAAAAAGTAAACTTTGGCAGGCTCGACGAGAGACAACGTAGGAAAAAGTTCATTATAGAGAGGAATTTGCTCTATCCAAGTGAACTTGAGAACACATTGTCTCGCGAAGAGAAGGACATATGGCGACACTATGATGCCTTCATGCGTTTCCATTCCAAGCAGGAGCATGAAGAACTACTCGAGGCTATAATCTCAGAACATAGAATCCTGAAAAAAATTAAAGACCTTAAGGTTGGACGTTTTCTTTGCTGAAAATTATACTTACACGAATGTTTTACAGAAAAAAAGAACTCGTTTTTAGGGAGTGACAGAAATAGTGTTTGTAAATTGCCCTTTCAAAACCACACGTGCAGGAAGCTAGAGCTGCTGGCTGTCGTTCATCTGCAGAAGCAGATAGATACATTGAAAGGAAAAGAAAGATGGAAGCCGAAGAAAATGTTCCCAAAAAGGAAACTTATCACGCTGGTCCAAGCAGCCAGAAGGAAAGTATGCGTGCACTTGGAACACATCCTAACAAAAGAAGCACTTCCTTGGCCAATACGACCCCTATCGTTGATTTGGAATGTGCTTCTGTACATTCTGCCATAGAGCTCTTGTCTGAACCTGTAAGTATGCAGATTGTGATCTTTGCCTTATTCAAACGAAATGTGAACCCAAAGTTTTTCCTTTCTTACCTGGTACCGTACAAACTTGTCGCGTTCTGTTGGTCTCAGGAGAAACAACTTTGCCTTGACATTAGGATGCCACCGCCACATTACCTTAACATGCTGGAAATGATGACAGTGCACATATTCAGCGGAAACATTACCAAAAAGTCTGATGCGTACACCTTCTTCCAGATTGAAACCACCAAAGTGGATCGAGTATACGACATGCTTTTGAAGAAGGGTGTCGTTCCGTTGTGAAAAACCGTTTCATGCTTAAACTATATTGAGTATATATTCTTTTCCCAACGCGTAAGTTGTAAAATATAGAGAAGCCACTGCCAGTTTTCAAATGCTGTGCAGTAGCTGAAAAAAGATGTTGGTTTATGAGTTGTATCTAATGCTGTAAAATCAACAATAAGTTTGTAATTTCAAACTGGGGTCTTTTCTGTTTGGCTTCTTTGTGTGTATGGTAGATTTTTGTAAGTTAGGGACTGTAAGTTTTGTAATATCTTGGCCCATTGGTTTTAAGGCGGTGAATGTGTTAGTGATTTTAGTGTCATCAGTAATTTTGGATAATTAGATTTATTTAAGACCGCCCAAGAATTCTAACCAACGTTGTTAGGCTATCAGGTGTGCTCTCCCTTCTTCCCCTTTTTTTTCCTTTCTGCCAATTAAATGTCACGTTTTAGCTTTTCTTTCACCTTCCCTCCTTCTCCCCCCTTCAATTTTTAATATTATTTTTTAACACTTATTTTAATTTATTATTATTATATTAATAATTTAAATTGACCCCCTTTAAATTAAATTAAAAGTAACTAAAATTGATGCATCAAAAAGTTAAGACATAATAAAAATATTGGCACATTATTAAAAAATATCGGAAAAAACCTAAACATAATTCATAGTTAATACTCCCTCCGTCTCGACTCATTTCCTTTTCTTTTTTTATTTGTCTTACAAAAACTTTTCCATTCCCATTAAAAAATTACTTTTAAACATACTAATTTGAAACATATATATCACATCATATTTTTTTACTAATAATTTACGCATTACATTTTACTTTTACTTATCACATCAAGGATATTTTTGAAATTTTTGGAAACTTAACACAAAAATATCCCTCTCTTAAATTTTATAAAAGTCAAAATGGGAACATCTTTTTTAGATGGAGGAAGTATTATTTTTACACATATTTTAATTTAAATAAATTAAACTAGAAATATAAAATACGAAGTACAATTAAATGGTATTCCCTCAGTTCGAATTTAAATCGTTTGTTTCGTTTTACTATGTTTGACTGAAATTAATTTCAAATCATTTTATATGAAAATGATGTGGAATTGAAAAATAAAAATTACATATTTAAAAATTATATCAAAAGATCTACAAAAACTAGTTGTGATATGACTACATTATTTTATTTAATAACTAATGAAAAATAAGAAAGGAAAGTGAATAAAGTTTAACCTTATGGATAGCAAACATACCATTTAAATTGAGACAGAGGGAGTGCAGATTTTTAAAAATTCTAAAACAAAAAACTTAATAAGTGGAAAAAAAAATAAAACTAAAGAATACTAAAACTAAAAATAAAAAACTGAAAAAAATTCAAACTAAATACTCCCTCCGTCCTAAAATTATCTTCCCAGTTACTATTCAAATGATCAAACTTAAATCACTTTCCTTACCTATTTTCGTTTGTTATTTGATAAAATAATATAGTTTTGTCACATCTTGTTTTGTAGGCCTTTTGATGTAGTTTTTAAATATATAAATTGTATTTGTTAATTTTACACCTACAATCAAATAAATTGAACTGAAAATAAAATCGGTCAAACCTCATAAACACAAACGAAAAGATGGTTTTAGGATGTCGGGAATAGTACAAAAAGGAATTGAAGAGGATAAGGAAGAGAACAATTAATTGCTGCAAAAAAAAGAGAAGAACGCAACACGTAAGAGAAGAGAGCAAGAAAAGGAAAAAGAAAAAAAAGAGAGTAATGCTAGAATCACAAACAAATTATTAACAAAATTCACAAACCTACATTTTCAATACTTCTCTAGATATAAGATGCACTCTAATAATAAAAAATGTTTTAATTTAAAATCCAAAAAAAATAAATTTGTAAAATTTGTGAACTACTCATATATGTTTGTCACTCTAGTATTTTTCAATTCCAATTTGCGCGAGTTTCTCCATGAATTTTGAGAATGAACTTCTTGCCACTCATGCGGTCATGCCAAGGGAGAAACTCAAGTATCATGGAGCATATTTTATACCTAAGTACATTATATTGTAAACAAATCTTATCTTAGTGGATTAGTTATGGCCGATTCGAGTTTGGTCCTGTTTCACTCATTTTTATTAAGTTATTTTGGATTCTATCATCTTCTTGGTGAAAAAACTTTTTTGGATTATGCTATGTGTATCCCAAGATTTGTACTCCAATTTGTACCCTGCAGTTTTGCACCAACATTTTGTGTTGGTGTAAAACTAATTTTTATTAAATGCACCAACATTTGTGTCCGTGTAAATTTTTATTAACGCACCAACACTTGTTTCGGTGTAAAGCATCGAAATGTTTGTGCAAACCTGTGGTGTACAAATAGGGTATATTTGTTGGTGTAAGTGTAGCATGGTCCAACTTTTTTATTTGGGTTGAGTTTTGGGTCAAATATAGGTCAAATGAATTTTAAGCATGTCTACTAAAAATTGTCAAATTTTAGAGCTAGTATATTTAAATATATCTTCTGTCTACAAAGATTTTTGGCAAAATACTCCCAAATTTATTTATTTACATAGTTACTCTCACATTTGTCTATTATTTACATCGTTACTACGCAATTGCTTCATCATCAGGGTTCCTTGGGTGTGTCTTTTTAAACGGGGTTCTTCATCTTTTTTTATTGAATTCAAATTAAATTAATATGAACAGACTTGATGTTAAATATTAAAAAGATTTGGAAAGTTTGAAATCTGATTTTTTAAAAAGTGATGGGAAATAAGGGCAATGATTACGCTTACTAAGACATGAGAAAGGCGATGAAGGGAATAAGTTGAGGTGAATTTGGTATATTAGAATGAAAAAAAGATACATCCAAATAATTGTTCACTTAGTGCAAAAAAAGACACATGCAAGTAACACTAATGATCACTATCAAATTTGGAAGTAATGATGTAAATAGAAGAAAAATGTGAGACTAATTGTGTAAATAAATAAATTTTGGAATATTTATTTAAAAAATCTGTAATTTCTGGGAGCATTCTTTTGAATTTATCCAGTATTTCCGGATCTGATGGATATAATCCACCCAGAACCGATCAAAGGAAATGTCCAAATGTTTGACCGGTCGAGTTGGTAATTCTTGAAGGAGAGACCTCAATCGTTACTAAGGGAACGATAAGCTGACAAAAACTTTGACCGGTGTACATCGGATAGTATACCGGTCAAACTACTTTATAGCCTCTTTCATTCCCTAATTTCGGCAAACTCATCCAGCAGAATCAACCCGGTATGATTTCTAGAGTTGGAAAATGTCGGCAGAAACGAATCCAAAGTGGTTTGGACCGAAGCGACCAAGATCAGTGGAGAATCGCTGAAGATGTTTGAACATTCCATCCAAGGCGCTACCTGACAAGGGAGTAGTCTTCCTCACAAGATGACAAGGTAGCTAAAGGACGAAACTCATCCTTCCACCATCCGAGAACGTGCATCAACGTGGCTGCATGATACTCTGTCCCCCTTAACTTAGTATAAATACTGTTGTAATCCTCAGAAATGTGGATCCGAATTCATTCTCTCTAAACCCTATGGTAAAACCTCTCGTGTATTCTCCTATATTTATAATATCAATTGGGCTACAGGTGTTTCCACCTATAGTCCTCCCGGTTATTTGTGTATTTTTACTGTTTTACTTTCTGAATCAAGTAAACGATTCTAGACACGGTCTAGTACAGTTTACCTGGTTAGGTAATTTACCCCATCAGGATCAAAACTTTTATCACTCTCTTAGCTAAATTTTTAAATAACATTATATTATGTATCCTGACTGTGTACTTTTTAAATATATAAATTTTATTTTTTAATTTTACCTCAAATTTCATCTAAATTGAATTTAATAAATTTTTTTTATCTGAATTAGAAAAATTTTGTATGACATGTCACATGAGTTTTCTAGATTTGATAGCACGTCATAGCACTTCCTACTCTTTCATCACTCCCAAATTAATGCTTTTAATTTTAGTTTCCCAAAGATTAAGAAAAATAAAAGTATTTTTATTGAAACTTATGTCAAAGAGGAAATTAATATGGACTACCATTTTGTTCCTTAAATGGAATATAAATTTAGGACAATAAATAAAGGGAAAAAACGAAGAGAAATTGCGGGGCCGAAATAATAAAAAAAAAGGTTTTAGAAGTTGAAGGAAATAGGCGTGAATGCGTGATTGAAGAAACAACTAAATTGGGGGGCCGTTGTGGAAACAAAAATTGTGGGGCCTAACGGAAATTCTAAAATGTTTGAATAATTGCGGTGAGCGTGGATCGAACACGCGACCTTCAGATCTTCAGTCTGACGCTCTCCCAACTGAGCTATCCCCGCTTCTTGTTACCATCTCGTACGCACTTAATAATATACACTCTGAACATGAACCGCCTTTTTTTTTGACTTGATTTCAGCCAATTTGGGCTCAGACAGCGAAGTGAGCAGAGTATATTTTTACCTATAAAATATTCATTATTTGTTTTAAAATTGTTTTGGTCAATTTACATGTGAAACAAATAGTTTCAAAAAACATTTGCTTAAAAATTTCATAAAATTTCTACATTATACATATGTTGGTACGGATTAGCTATTGCCAAAAATAATTTCCTCATTTCCTTTTTCACATAAATGTAATTTTTTCATTCTTTTAATATAAAGACATTTTTTCTCTTGTCTACAAAATCATTTCACATTTTTTTCTTCCATAATTAAGGGAAATTTAACTTTCCACTATTAAAAAAATTGTCTCTCATATTTTATCTCTTTCACAGTTTTTCAACTCCACTATTTACTCCATAATATTTTTTTATCTTTGTACCAAGTCATTCACATAACATTAGGAATATATTTTTACTACAATGAGTTCGAGAACATATGCTTCACTTTTGTTAAGCTAAAAAAAAGTAAATACATTCAAATAATTCTCTTTAAAGTTTAAACCATTCTCACAAGAAAAGTCAATTTGGGACGGATGAAGTGTTGTTATAAATTCTAATTTTTTTTAAAAAAAAGGATGCATCAATGCTTGTGTGTGTGTCTGTATCTACACACACACACACACACATATATACATACATACACACACACACACACAGTGATAGCAAAAAGCATTCTTAAGCATAAAAACAAAGCAACAATGCATTCCTGAAACTTGCTCCTTGAGAACCAGAAGTCCTAAAACTCTGCTTTCTTTGGGCATGAAGCCATGTATTGGATTTTGATGTCTTCTTGTAAACTTGTAAACTATTTCTTTTTTTTTTCAGAAGCTGTAAATTTGAAGACTACATTTGTCCCTACTACTAACTGTATTTGGCATGAAGTATTTACAACAGATCAACGGGTGGCGCCATGACAAAACTCAAAACATAATCCAAACCCCCCCAACCGTCCGTCTCCCATGCGGGTTAGTTGTCGTTCTTTAAACAAAGGGATTTTCCCCTACTTACAAAAACAGCTTTCCCTTCACAAATTGCTGCTTCCTACTTCAGACAGAATCTTTGTCTCTGGTCATTTATACAGTCTGCCACTTTTGGTTAGATCAAACTCTGCAAGATGTTTTTTTTCTTTTTTTCAAGATTTGGTTGTTGTCAGACCAGATCCAGATGATACGATGGATTGGCCCGAGAAACCTCAGCCAAATTCGAGCACAATGAATGCTTTGAATTAGAGGCAGCACTCGCGGCAGAAATGAATGAGCATATATCACGCTTTGGTTTTATATCCACCCACTTGCTATCAATCCAATCTCTCGAAATCCTCAAGTTTCTCCTTGGAAATATTAACGACCTGTTATCACCTGAAATTGCAAAGACAATTGAATCCAATGCAGCATGATCAACAAGGCCCCTTCATTTAGCAGTCATAATCACTACTAAGCTTGAGCCGGGGGTCTCTTCCAAACAACTTTTCTACTTCATAGTAGGGGTAAGGATTGCATACACTACCCACCATAGACCCTACTTTTTCTGGGATTTTACCATAACTTATCACAACATAGTTTCTATTGAAAGGCATAATAGTTGAGCACTATATTCAGTCGTACCGGCAGCTTTAGTATCATGATTCATGATGCAGAAAGTTAGGAATTTCCTTGGGAATTTGGGGGGGGGGGTGACCTTCACACAAAAAAACATACGGGAATGGAAGGATTTTGGAAGTAGAAAAATACCCGGGAAGTAAACTAGAAAGTGATGGCTTCTTGGAAGATCAATTCCAGCGACAACACCTTCCCACCAACCATTGCACCACCATGCATCAACTGCATCTCCTACGTTAAAGGAACACTTCGATGGTTCCTTAAGAGGCCATGGCCGAATTGTGAGGCGTCCAGCGCATCTCATGCTCAGCTTATCAGGAGCTGCAGCCCTTGTTGCAGGAATCCACTCCTATCAAACAGTCAGGCAGTAACTCGGTAAGGATTCTTAAGGTTATGTAAATGTGTGCGATTAGTTTCGTGAGATAAGAGTAATTTGGGAATGCATATTTTGTATGTGCGCGCTTAAATTAGGATCGAAATACCTCCAGTTTTCCAGTCCCATCCACATCATCAACATCAAGGTATTGAAGCTTCAGGAGCTGTCGCTTCGCTTGAATGACCATACACTTGAACCAGCAGCCTCTCATGCCACTGTCCTGACAAAGGAACTCTATATATACCCCAACTTTGAAAGGACAGCACTGGGGTCCATGCCCAACAAGTTTCGCCATAGCCAGCCCTTTGATAGACAGTTTAATTTTCAATTTCGGGCGAGTTGGTTCGCATTCTGTCATCGGAATTGCATCACATTCGCCGGCTGGATTTTGCTCTTCTTGTCTTTTATTTCCTTCCACCCTTTGCTGCGAAACAGTCTGGTTACTTAACATGCTGAAAATGGGTTGGTTGTAGTATCCGTGTAGTTTGCTTAGACAGAAAGGCAAAGCCATGTTGTTTTTGAATTCCCTAGAGCATATAAGGAGTCCAGACAATGAATTTTCTGGAAGAGCTGAAGCATATTTCTGATAATCACTAGGAGTCAGAACGGCAGCAAGATCATCAACACATTCTGCAGAGATCACCTGGATATGAGGAGAGATAAATACTTCTTTAGGATGCGCGTCTAGCTGAGGAATCACACACTTCACTTCATGAAGATGATGAAACCAGCGAATCTTAATCCATTTCTGCATTGTGTTGTCCTCATAGAGATCTTCTATGTAACCAAGGTAGCGGCTTTCTTGTTCAGCCATGAAAAACACAAATGAGTGTACCTGAGAATCAAGAGAACATTCTTTAGACATTTTTGGCCGAATTATATATAAAAAAAGATTTGAATGGGATTAAGCGCTCGGACCCACTTCTTGCAAATGAAGAGGATTTAGCACTTACGGGTATAATAGTCCCATTGCTCAAAATAGCCGGATAGTGCTTAAGCCTCTCAGAACAGCCCCGTGCCTCACCCAACCACGTCATATCTGAATCTTTTGGTTTTAATTTTCTGGGAACAAGTTCCTGAAATGAAAGATTTGTTTGCTTGTATGTGACAGAAACACAGTAACTCAATAAAAACTAAGTGCGACCTCGCCACAAGAATAATATCAACACGCACATGAAAACACATATTTACATAAATACACACAGGTGGGAATGTATGCAATAACAGACATGCGCTTAAGCAGTAAAGGATTGAGTTAAGACCTCCTTGACCACAGGTTGGATTCCAGGATTAGTAATACCAGCCATTGATTCAGCAATTTGTGAGTCTGCATAAATAAATAAATAAAAGTATTTAATTAAGAGCATGTCTGGTAACAGTTTATGCAATCTCTTGACTAAAACTTTAGAAAACTAGGATAGCTAGTAGACAAGTATCATTTCAGGAAATCTACCACTTGAGATGCAAAAACACAAATGCAATATCTTCGGCAATTTTAAAACAGTTAAATGACTTGAATCTTTGGAATTCAAAATGGGCAGCCAAAGCGGAAAAAGGTAAACTTAAAAGCAAGCATAATCATGAAATTTTAAATAAGAATGCTGAATGTAGTCCCAGCCTCCCAAGAAAATCCAGGGAAAAGATGTTTCACGGAGTTAGGAAAAATTGATGTTCTCATACACAAGTATTTTCAGTTATAGTCAAACATGGCATTGATATGTAATGAGCCAAAACGAATACACTTAACAAAAATATGCTCTTAAAAGATTTAGTATTTCAATGATATCCAAACACGGTCTTGATCTGAAACAAGTGATGAGATAATTGTGAAAACTTCTCCTTGCAACTGACTGAATTTACTACCTGTAATTAACAAAACAATTAAACATGTGTGCTGACTTTACCCTGATTACAAATGGTGTGCACGGCAAAGAAGTCGACAATTGAGAAAGGGAATGGACCTCATATTGAGATGCCTCTCGCATTTAAGTACAGACTGATTCTCCACCAACTGTATGCGCACTCATATACGTGTATAATTCACATTGGTTTCTTACCAATTGCAAATTCTACTACGAGTATTTTAATTTGTCTTTAATTACCACAAGTACTGATATAGAAATTAACTCGTGCCGAATTAAATGGTTACTTGAGCCACACCATATGCTGTCAAGAGTCCAAAAATGAACTATCACACTAAAAATCTGTAGACTAATAGGGTATAAAAGTTAATGACACGCTCCTACATAATTACGCATTGAACAAGTTTCACCCTGTGCAATGGAGTTTAAATGAAATCTATAACAACTTAAGCAAATGACAAAGTCCAATAGCTCTCTTCCCATTACAAGACGATTTTATAGAAATAGGGCTTAAAATACTTTGTACTATTTGTATGGGTACATTGGTTCTGAAAACATGAAACAAGTCATCTAGGTTAACCAAACTAGTAATCACTCCGACTTCCAACTCAAGATAGCACCCTATCGGTGGTGCAGAAAGGGAAAGGAGAGTCGTCTGCTCAAACTTTAAGCATATTAAAGTTTATAATCCAAGTCATAAAATTTAACTAAACATCATATCTAGAGAACTGCATCCAAACCACACAAATGAATAGATAATAATTCCATATCCATAAAGGCCTAACATGCATGCAGGGGAAGGAGAAGACAATTAGTCAAAATAAGTAAGTACATGAATAAAAAATCTTTTTACAGCATACCTGAAATAGGCGAAACCATTGATACGAGCCACTCCACAAGCTCACGCCTTGTACGCCATCTTTTATCGGCAAAAGGAGTATTCCGGCAATCTTGGTAATCTAGAAACTCTTCAGAGATTGCATAGATCATGTGCCTTGCACTTCTTTCTGTTCCCACAACAGCTAGGAGTGAACATCCCACACTATCTTTTAAATAGTAGTGAACGAGACGATTCCCCTTCTCTTGCGAAACATTTTTTTCTTCCCACGCTACAAAGGCACGATCCTTTCCTGACATCCTGATATTCCAAAGCAGAAAAAGAGTATAATTGCATACAATCATTGCGACTAAGCACCATCAAGTATTGAAAATCTAAAAATACAGACACTCATTCAAGAAACTATATATAGAATTTCAGTTTCTGCTACATCCCAAACTTAATCAAGCCTTAAACCCTCATTTTCTTTTGATGCTATAATCCCAGTAATATGACAAAACAGTATAATTTAGGCTGTGGTGGGATTGTGCAAAATCTGCAATCAAATTAAGAAGCAATGTGAAGTAATCAATGAAGTTCAAGAACCCCAAAAAAATGATATCGTACATCCCGATGTACTAACCTTCTTGTACATCCAATGAGCATTATGTAACTTGTAATTGTGTACACAATAATTTTATAACGTGTACGCTTTGGGCATGTAAAAAAACAAATGTGCACTTTTCTGCAATTTAGTTTTCAAGATTTCATATTGCTCTTTCAAGCATACGAAGTGTTATTAGGAACAAAATGAAAAGTCCATTTAACAACGGAATGAGCTGAGCATTGTGCAATTATTAAATGTCCATACATCGATTTCACAATGTGCATGTTCTAAGTATAAGCAAGGAAGTTAATGTGCAAAACGAATGTTGCAATACTTGTAAATGCGCATAACTCAGATGTACAATAAGCACACAACATCTGGATGTACAATACACTTGGAGCTCAAGAACCCCATGATCAGACAAGGAATGATTCCAGAAACACAATATACAACAAAAACCCAACACGGGTTTTCCTTATTTCGAACCCACTGCAAATCTCAACCAAAAACAGACACTTGAATCAACCATTCATACATTGGAGTGATCACACACTCATACAAACACAAAGCTTAGGTCTGGATGTGCACATATTCATAACCAATCAAAAAAGCAATAAGGCAAGAAATGCTAAAGAGTAAACAGAGCACAGAAAACGAAGATATACCCTGAAAGAAAGAGAGGAAGTTCTTGCGTTTGCGGAGCCAATAGCAAGATGGCGGTGCTTTGGGCGGTGGCCGGTTCGAGCTTTTCAAGAATACTTTTTTCTTCTCCGGTGTCGGTAATATCTATGGTGAAGGCTTGGAGAAGAAGCTAGATAGAAGCGGAAAACGATTACGGGGAGAAGTAGAAAAGGAGGAGCGGTGCCATGGCCGAAACATCATGGCAGTCGTCAGAGGAGGGCGAGACAATCTGCGTATGGGACTGAAAAACAGTGGAATATTTACGACTTCAAATATTGTATGTTTGTACCCCGGAGGACTACTACATAAGCTTCATTTTTGCATTTGACAAAAATATAATGTTAAATAGTGCAATGTTCATACATAAAAAAATATAAAAACATTCATTACAAAAAATGTGTGAGATGTAAATAAAGTTTTAATTTCAAGTAAACAATAAGAAATGAAGTTTCTTCTTAGTCCAAAAAAATGTTTATGTAAAGCATAAATCATCTCACGCTTATCTTCGTTTAGAGTCAAACCCAATCATTACGCTCTTTCACACTTTATACTCAACATAAATTAATTTTCAAGACAAATGTATTTCTGTGTATAAAAGTTTGTCTTTAGTGTATAAAGGCTTGTCTTTTATGTCTTTAATTAGTTTGCAGTATAGTCTTTAGTGTATAAATGTTCTTTTTTCTGTCAAGAATGCTTAATTCAATTTTTTCTTTTCATTTCTCAAATATACAAATTCAATGATAAGAAATCACCTATGTAATAAGAAAAAAGGTTGAACCATTTACACCTCCATTTGAATGGAAGTTAGATAACAAAGTCAGCAAATCTTAATTATAATCACATTCAAAGAGTATACTGATTTACTCTTAAAGTTGCAAAAATCTAGCACTATTAGACCTTTTGATGTGCTGTTTTTGAGGGTATTAAAATGAGAATTGAACTACGATGTGATGGGTAATCAGAAAATGCAAGAATTCTTATATCCAAAATTTAAACAAATGGCTCATCGAGAGCCATATCTATGGTAATTTAGAAAAATTTACAAAATCTGCCATAGAGCTTGGTAAATTGATTGGAGAACGGAAAATAAAGTTACTTTATGGTGGGGAGGATGGGACTCTCAAACTCGGGTGTGGGTAGCGAGGTCTAGTGGTTCACCAAAACTTGGTTGAACGTGATGCTTGTGGACAACCCTGCAGTCCAAAATGAACATATATATTTAAAAACTACATCAAAAGTTCAACAAAACAAGTTGTGACAATTGATGGGTGTATCCCACCCAAGACCGGTCAAGGGAGAAGGTCCAATCTTTGACCGGTCAATCTAGAAAGATTTGAAAGGGAGACTTAAATCGTCAGCAGAACGATATGTCATCGGCCAAAATTTGACCGGTACACTTCACAAAAAAGTATACCGGTCAAATTACGTTGTCGTCCTGTTTGTTCCAGACTTCGATAAATCCACCCCTCGGAGATTACCCGGTGTAATTTCTGAGGTTGGAAAGTGTCGGCAGAAGATGATCTGCGAGGGTTTGGCGTGTAGCAACCCGTGTCAGTAGAGGACAACTGGAGATGCTGAAGAATCCATCCAAGGCACTACTTGACAAAGGGAATGATCCCCTTC